CTTGGGTGTAAGATCTTTTATAAGAGGATTTTCTATCATGGAGTTTGTCCCCAAATATTATATATAAATTTGTCCATTTTGTACCTTTTCCTTAACAATTAGGAACTTGATGTCAATATGTTTTGACTTGGTCGAGCTCTTATTACTGTTGGAATACAGGACGACTGATTTGTTGTCACAATATAACTTAAGTGATCTTTCGATTCATTCCATAATTTGAAGTCCTGTGACAAGATTCCTCGGTCAAATCTCATGGTTGGATGCCTCATAACATGCTATAACTCTGTTTCCATAATGGATGAAGTCGTAAGAGTTTGTTTGGCACTGTGCTAAGAAACTGCACCACTAGCCAACATATAGATATAGCCTGAATTGGATCTTTTACTGTTTTCGGGCATCCAACAAAATATGAGTCAGAGTATCTAATAATCTCTAACTCGTCTGACCTCTTATATGTGAGTATATAGTCTGTTGTTCTCTTTAAATACCCCATAACCTTTTTTGGCTTCTCTCCAATGATCCATTCCTAGATTTCTCAAATATCTTCCTAACATCCATTGAGGAATGTCATCTTGACATCCATTTGATGGATTTTCAGATCATAATATGCAACAAGAGTCATGATTGTCCTAAAAGAGTCTTTCGATAAAACTGGAGAGAAATTCGCTTTAAAGTCAATCCCTTTCTTTTGGGTATAACTCTTAACCATAAGACGAGCTTTATATCTTTCCACATTACCGTTAGAATCCCGTTTGGTCTTAAAAATCCATTTGTAACCAATGGGTTTCACACCTTCTGGTAATGGGACAAGTTCTCAAACTTTATTGTCTTGCATGGACTTATACTCATTCTTCATTGCTTCAATCCACTTTTCTGAGTTGGAATCCTAGATGGCTTGACGGAAGTTGATTGGATCATCTTCCATCATACCATTATTTTCCTCATATTCTTGGAGAAAGACTATGTAGTCATCCAGAACATCATTTCTCCTTTCTCTAGTGGATCTTCGTAAAGTTATTGGTTCTTGTAACACTTGCGCTTGAGGATTTTGAGTTTGTTCTTTGTGAATTACCAAATCGTCTTGAGTAGGAGGAAAATCAACAATGTCTTGTGGAGGTTTTATACTTGCTTTGTCAAAAGCAACTGTATGAATCAGTTTTAAAATTATTAGCAGAATAGTAGAAAGTGGAATTAGAAAATTCTGTATTCCATATTTTATGTCTTTACAAGGATACAATTATTGGGATATATACAATTCAACATTAGCTTATTTAGGTATGTAAATCTCCTATAATAACACTGTAATAATTCTATAATAAAACTGAAATCTCCTATAATTAATCTATATAAAAAATATCCCTATAATTTCTCTTAACACCCTCCCTCAAACTCTAGTTGGTATGGTGGATGCCAACTGGAGTTTGCTTAATAAATATTTGAAGCGCATCGAATTATGTGGTTTGGTGAAGGTATCAGCTGGTTGGTCCTCAGAAGGAATAGAAATCAACCGTATGGTGCCATTAGTAACATGATGGCGTACAAGGTGACAATCAATTTCAATGTGTTTCGTGCGCTCATGAAAAACATCATTATGGGAAATCTGGATAGCACTTCTATTATCATAATGAAGCATAGTAGCAGAAGATTGTGTAATGCCCATATCATTTAACAACCATCGTAACCAAAGTAACTCAGCCGTATCATCAACAAGAGCACGATATTCAGATTCTGTTCTTGATTGGGCAACTGTTTGCTTTTTGCTACGCCAGGAAAGAAGAAAATTTCCTAAGAAGAAATAATACCCTGTTGTTGAGCAACGATCAGTAGGGTCACCTGCCCAATCTGCATCAGAGTATCCAGATAGGACCAAGGATGAATTAGCAGAGAAGCGTAAACCATGAAAAATTGTACCTTTAACATAGCGAATGATACGTAGAACTACAGAGAAATGAGATGATCGAGGGGTAGCCATAAATTAACTGACTTTATGAACAACATATGCAATATCAGGGCAAGTGACAGTTAGGTAAACAAGACTACCAACAAGTTGTCAATACAAGGTGGCATCTTCAAGAGGTGTGCCGTCATGTGGTGTGAGTTTGGAGTTGACTTCCAATGGTGTCAATTCAGTCTTGCAGTCTGTGATGCCTGCTCGAGAAAGCAGGTCAGAAGCATACTTGGCCTGGGAAAGATAATAGCCTTCTGAGTCTTGGGAAACTTCAAGTCCCAAAAAATAACTAAGGGAACCAAGGTCTTTCAATTCGAAATGTTGACTGAGATATTGTTGTAAAGTTGAGATGCCAGTCTTTTCATCTCCGGTTATGATCATATCATCTACATAAATAAGAATAATTACAATACCACTATCACTTCGTCGAGTGAATAGAACAGAATCATGTGGACTAGAGAGAAAACCAAACTGTGTTAAAGTAGAATTGAACTTGGCAAACCAGGCTCTAGGAGCTTGTTTCAACCCATATAAGGCTTTCTGAAGTTTACAAACCTTATGAGGAGAATGATATCCTGGAGGAGGGTGCATATATACTTCCTATGTCAATTCACCATGAAGGAAGGCATTTTTGACATCCATCTGAAAAAGCTTCCATTTACGAACTGCAACAATGGCCAAGAGGCTACGAACAAATGTTATTCGAGCTACCAGAGCAAATGTCTCTTCATAGTCTATACCATACTCTTGAGTGTACCCTTTGGCTACTAGGCGATATTTATAACATTCTACAGTTCCATCATAGCGAGTTTTAATTTTGTAGATCCATTTGCATCCAATAGGAATCTTTTCTGCAGGAAGATCAACTAATTCCCAAGTATTTATCTTTTCTAAAGCTTGAATTTTCAGCCATAGCTTGCTGCCAAATGGGGTTAGTACTTGCCTCTCGATAAGAACAAGGCTCATGAAGAGTTTTAATAGCAGAGTAGAAATGGTAATCATTAAGATGAGTAGGTGGATTACTTACTCGGGTGGAATGGCGAGATGCAGGTACAATATCAACATCCGGAACAGGTTCAGTAGAAGCAGATGAGGGCGGACGAGTATTGAGCTCAACATCTGGAACAAGTTCATTAGGAGCAGGTGAGGGAAGAGGAGTATTGAGGTTATTATAGTTATCTACATTAGAACTTGGAAACAACTCAACTGAGGGATCAGTGGAATAAAACGAGTCGGTGTCAAGAGAATGATGAAATGTAGAAAGAGAGGAGAACATGGTGTTTTCCCAAAAGGTAACATGACGTGAGATGCATAATCTATTAGAGATTGGATCCCAACAACGATATCCTTTGTGTTCTGTGCCATAGCCAAGAAAGCAACACAAGCGAGCACGTGGTTGTAATTATGTGTGCTCATGAGGCTGCAAGAGAACAAAACAAGCACATCCAAAAGGTTTAAGAATGGAATATTCAGGAGACTTACCAAATAGTTTTTCAAAAGGAGATAAGTTTTGAAGATTTATGGTGGGAAGTCGATTAATTGTATAGACAACATTAAGAGTTGCTTCCCCCCAAAACTTCTCTGAACACAAGGTTGAGAGGAGAAGAGCACAAACTGAGTCAAGGATGTGACAGTGTTTTCATTCAGCCCGACCATTTTGTTGGGAGGTGTGAGGGCATGAACGTTGAACCACGGTGCCTTGCTGACTGAGAAACTGAAGCAAGGGAGATTCACGGTATTCCATCGCATTGTCTGTGCGAAGAATCTTAATAGCACAAGAAAATTGTGTTTTAACCATACGAGCAAAGGAAATATAAATTTAAGGTAATTCAGAGCGATTTTTCAAAAAATATATCCATGTAAAACGAGAAAAATCGTCAATAAACAATACAAAATAACGATGACTATTTATTGAAGAAACAGAAGAAGGCCCCCAAATATCCGAATGAATCAAATCAAAAGGACTATTTGAACTAGAAAAACTACGATTGAATGATAATGCAGGCTGTTTGGCAAGTTTACAATGTAAACAATCAAAAGGCTCAACCTTTGTGGATCCTAATAACCCACGAGATATTAGAGGTTGAATTTTGCTTGCTGAGGCGTGACCAAGACGAAGATGCCATTGATGAATTGGAGAATTTATAGTAGCAGCAGAAATATGATCTTTAGGAAGGTGAAGAGATTGTAGCTCAAATAGCCGACCCACCCTGCGACCCGTCCCAATGATCTGCTTCGTCTGCGGATCCTGTATCTGAACACCAGAGGGAGAAAAATAAACATTCAGTCCTTGTTCACACAATTGACCAATGGAAATAAGATTAAGTTTCAAGTTAGGAATGTAATATGTGTCTGGAAGGGTGAGATTTAAGGTGGATACATGACCGGTATGAGTGATGTTCATTGTATTGCCACTGGCTGTGTGGATTGGTGGCAGAGATGAAACAAGTGTCGCAGCAGGTAATGATTTAATATCAGTGGTCATATGATTACTACATGCAGAATCAAAAAACCAACGAGAATTACCGTGAGTAGTAGACATGGCAGTAGAGTTGTTGGAAGACATAACCTGTTTGATTAAAGCTTCAATATCACTCATAGTGATGGTCGTCGAACCTTCAGTGGCAGCAACAAGGATGGAGGAAGATCCAGACGTTGGAACATTCTTGGATTTGGTGAAGCCACGATTTTGTTTTGGAGGTCGCGTGGGACAATGTTCAAGAATGTGACCGATACCATGGCAGTACCTACACTCTATAGTAGGACAATTAGCAAATATATGACCAGGGCGATTGCAATTCTTACATGGATGATGATTCGATTTTTGATGTGAGAATCGAGTAGTTGCAAGAGAAGCATCCATTTAAGGAGTTTTGTCTAGATTCAGACGCGTTTCTTTAAAAATGATTTCTTGGATAACAGTATCCAATGATGGAAGCGGATTTCGATGCAGCAGTGAGGCTCGTACGACTTCATATTCGGGCCGAAGAGCCATAAGGACTTGAATGAGATGAAGGTGGTCTTCACTGATTTTGGCAAGCGATATTTGATGTCAAATTGGTTGGACTTGAGCGAGAAAATCATTCACTGATTGACCAGGTTCTTGCTTGGTATTGTGAAGTGTGGTCCATAACTGATAATAATATGCAAGGCCAGTGGTTTGATAGCGGTTTTTCAAGAAATCCCAAATTTCTTTTGCAGAATCGTAGTTATGAAACTGAATGTGAATAGACGGTACAGACGTGTTGCGCAACCACGTGATGATCTGGTAATTTTTACTATCCCAATCTTCAAGGCGGTCCGCAAATTCTGCAGCAGATTCATCTTTGTCTTGAGTTGGCTTGACGACATCTCCGGTGACTATGCGCCAAAGCTTGCGTCCGATCAGAAAACTCTTCATTCGTTGGACCCAGAGATTGTAGTTTGGTTCGGTCAAGGTGGTTGTAATGGGTTTAAAAATATCAGTTTTCTCCATAATGCAGAGATGAACAGATGAGCGGGATAATAGAGAACTGAAGATGTTGCAGAAAATAGAGGGGAAAAAATGGGGATCTATGACCTATGCTTTGATACCATATTAGCATACAAACATCAACTGTCCTTTGAATCAATTGATACTCGCATGGACAAACATATACACAATCAAAAAATTGTTTATTTTTCATAAACAATTTCTTTTTCATTTTAATTACTCACTCAAAATGTCAAATTACTATATAAAAATTATAATCTGTACTCAAATTCAAACAAAATTGAACCAAACAAAAATATCTCTCTTATTACGGTACTGTTAGAGCTAATATATTAGAAATATAAACCTTAGTCAGAATTTGAAAAGAAAATCAGTTAACAAATAAATTTGGAAGACTAAAGTGGTTATCTCCAAATATTCATAATAATAAAAAAACTTACAGGACATGTTACAATATATCCCAGTTGTCACCGTAAGTCGTACACACATTGATATAAACATAGCATGCAATATAGCATACTTTACAGTACAACCATGGATAATAATAAACAAAACTAACCGCACAATTTTCTTTGAATAGCGAAATCGTATACGTATGCATTGAATCGAATTTCGTAAGTGGCCCAAGATGATTTTGAATACTTTATAGAGTAATCGTTAGATCATAAATAATGATAACAAAATATAAACTAAACAAATTTGGCACATGAATTTCTTGATTACGGTAATCCATGCTACCAACATCAACCGAAATTAAAAATTATTTCGCTGAACCTATAACTTTTCTTATAAATTAGAAGATAAAAAATACTCAATTTTAAAATTTATGAATGGTGATAACCTCATCTTGGTGATACATATAAAAGAAGAAGATACTAAAACAAATGAAAAGTATAACAGAAAACAGTTATGCTATTACAATAAAGCATCTTCATTAATTAAGTAATATATAGAGTACACTAAAATATATATACAAAGGGATCAAGATTAGAAAGGAGTGGATATCTATAAGGGGCAAAACAACATACGTGGCATCCCCTGATAGGCTAAGCACCAACAGAATATAAAGAAATTATCCTATCTATATGCAGGGATAGTAACAGAAAACAGTTATGCTATTGCAATAAAGCTTCTTCATTGGTTAAGTAATATACAGGGTACACTAAGATGTATATACAAAGGGATCAAGATTAGAAATGAGTGGATATCTATAAGGGGCAAAACAACATACGTGGCATTCCCTGATAGGCTAAGCACCAACAGAATATAAAGAAACTATCTTATCTATATGCAGGGATAGTAACAACCCCCCTCAAGTTGGACTTTGGATATTGCAAAGTCCTAACTTGACCAGTGTGTTCTTTAATGCTGGTGAATGGAGGGGATTAGTCAACATGTCAGCCAGTTGATCATGGGTGGATATAGGTAGAAGATGGATGAGCTTGGACTGAATTTTCTCGCGAATTACATGACAGTTAAGCTCAATGTGCTTACTCCGCTCGTGAAAGGTTGGATTGTGGGCTAAGTAAATAGCTGATCTACTGTCACAGAAAATAGATGAAGGTTGGGAGAAAGCAACATGCAGATCACGAAAGAGGTAATACAACCACTGAATCTCACAAGTAACGGAGGCTAGAGCCCGACATTTTGCTTCAGTGGAGGACCTAGACACAGTGTGTTGCCTTTTGGATTTCCAGCATAAGAGAGAGGAGCCAAGCATGACACAATAGCCAGTTATAGATTTTCGAGTATCTGGACATCTAGCCCAGTCTGCATCGGCAAATCCTACAAGCTTCAAGGCACTGGATGCAGAAAATAATAGACCTGTAGCAGGGACAGATTTAAGATATCTCATGACACGATTGGTAGCCTGCAAGTGAGGTATTCTGGGTTGAGACATGTACTGGCTTAAATGTTGAACAACATAAGAGATATCAGGTCTTGAGTTGGTCAGATAAATCAAACGACCAACCATCCTCCTATAAACAATAGGATCTTCTAACAAAGGTCCCTCATGAATGGAGAGTTTGAGGTTAGGATCAAATGGAACAGAGGACAGTTTAGTAGTAAGGACACCAGCATCCTGAAGCAGTTCCAAAGTATACTTTCGTTGATTCAAAAAAATGCCTTCTGCAGATCGAGCAATCTCAAGGCCAAGAAAGAATATCAGTTGTCCCAAGTCTTTAATCTTGAATTGTTGATCCAAAGCCTCTTTGACATGATTAATCTCTATAAGGGAATTTCCTGCTAGCACTATATCATCAACATAAACTAATAATGCAGTAAAATTCTGAGAAGAAGATTTAACATATACTGAGTAAACAGCTAAAGACTGATGATAACCCAGAGAAATAAGGAAAGCAGATAATTTGGAGTACCACTGTCTGCTAGCCTGTTTTAAACCATATAGAGACTTATGTAACTTGCAAACTTTGGATGGGGGAACGCCATTAAAGCCAGGTGGAAGGCTCATGTAAACCTCCTCATGCAAATCACCATGGAGGAAAGCATTGTTAACGTCTAATTGTTCCAAATACCATCCTTTAACAACTGCAAGTGAAAGTAATACTCTGACAGTAGTAAGTTTTGCAACAAGAGAAAAAGTATCAAAATAGTCCACTCCTTCCATCTGAGTAAAGCCCTTTGCTACCAGCATGGCCTTATACCTTTCAATAGATCCATCAGCCCTGTGTTTTACTTTGTAAACCCACCTATAACCTATAAGAACCTTACCAGGTGGAAGATCAACCACAATCCAAGTTTGATTCTTTGCAAGAGTTTCTAACTCAACATTCATGGCATTAATCCAATAATCATGTTTAATAACTTGTTTATAAGTTCTAGGTTCAGAGATGGCAGAGATAGAACAACAATAGTGTTTAAAGGAGGGGGAACATCTGTCATATGATAATACATATGAGAGAGGGTATATAGTATAGTGTTGTTTGGAAGACTCAAAAGAAAAAAGTTGAGCTTTATTGAGGATGTGGTAGCAATGGTAATCTGCCAAATATACAGGTGGATTGGTGGGTCTTGTGGAGTGTCTAAGGGGAGGAGGAGAGTTATGTAGGACAAGGGAATCAATCTCAGGGGAAGATAAAGGAGAATGAGAGGATGGAAATTCACCGAATAAGGATGGATCATCAAGTGGTTGTCCAATGGATATAGCAGAGTGTTCAGGTACATGAGTGAGTAAAGGTGAACCAGTATTAAAGATAGGGATAGAGGTAGCAGTAGGACTAGCTGGCAACGCAGAAGAGACAAGGCTAGTTGCAAAGTTAGGACTGCTGTTAGAAGTAAAACTATATTTACTAGGAGTTTGGCTATGGCTAGGAGTAGGATTGGAGCCAGAGGATGAAATGGTGTCATCTATAGGATGGGATACATCAGTGGATATAGGAGATTACTGAGTAATGGATTGATCATCATACAGGGGTGGAAATTGGGATGTGTATTTAGGAGTATGATTTGGTTGATGTGGTTTAAAAGAAAAATTATGCTCACAGAAAATCACATTCCTAGACACAAAGATATTATGGTGAATTAGATCATAGAGGATGTAACCTTTGGTTCCATCCTTGAATCCAAGGAAGACATATTTCCTAGCTCTAGAATCAAACTTGGTCCTATGAGATTGTAGAGTGGTAGCAAAACTTAGACATCCAAAAACTTTCAAATGAACAATAGAAGGTGACTGTTGAAAAACGAGTTCTTAAGGGCATTTGAGTTTTAAAATAGGAGTAGGAAGCCTATTGATGATGTGTGTGATACGGTGGGAGAACTGACTAGGGTTTTGCGTTTGTTTTCGCAAATGTTTTGGTTGAGCAAGAGTCGCCACCGACTTTTTATTTTATCCTAAGGAAAGGTTTAAAAAGCACAGCAAAAATCTTTGAGATATTTCGTGGGTTCGGGGAGTAGATTATAGAAAGGGAAGGTATTAGCACCCTTTCTATCCATGGTTATCCATGGGCTCTTAGTTACTTGCTTAGATCAACTTGCCTTGATTTTCAATTGTTTGAAATGGTGCTTTGTGCGTGGTTTTGAAAATGTTTTGAAAAAGATGTCTTGTCTAGGCAACCCTTGTAACAATTCTTTACTCGAATGTTTTACAAAAGGTGTTTGTCTTTTTGAAAAGATGTTTCAAGGTTTTTGAAAGTTTATTTTGAAAGTGTAGTGATGTGTGGTTTGAAAAATAGGCAAGTGTTTTTGTTTTGCAAGTTGACAAGTACTTAAGAGCTATCTACCCTAAAGTTCTCAAAGATTTTTGCTATGTTTTAACCCTTTTAACAATTTTGTTCCACCATTGCATTTGGTGGACAATCTTGTGTTAGGATGTGAAAGGGACGGGCGCGGGTCATCGTTTAGACCATAATTGCAATGGTGCCAAGTATCTTTGGGCAATTTTTCCTTTAAGGGACTTGATCATTTTTTAGGCATCTTTCGAAGGCGTCAACGAGGGACTATGATCATTTGATTTGTTTTGTTTTGCCCAAAGAGACCTAACATGCAATATGGCCCATTATTGAAGGCAACAAGTGGAATACCCTAGGGGTGCAAGTGTGATTAGTGTTGTCCATTTTCATGCTGGTTTATCTTGAATTTAGGTCAAACTATTTTGGTTAATTGATTTGCATACAAACCCTAATTCTAACATGGCATAATTAGAAAACTTTAAAGTGCGAAAAATAAAGTTTCTAAGTTATTACAACACAATGTATGGGAAGGGGGGTACAAATTCACAAATTGGGGTATTTTGACAAGGAATTTAAACCTAACTATTACATCAAAATTGAATTATACAAATTATTTAATATGCAATAATTAAATAAAAATGGAATAAATATGCAAGATGCAAAAAAAATGTTTTTTTTATATGTATGAAAAAGTATTTTTTATATGTCAAATAAACAAAATAAAAAGTATTAATTTTTTGGAGTTTTTATGTATTTAGGGCAAAACCCTAATTTTATAAATAAAAGGTATTAATTATTTATTATGTATTA